CTGAGACTGGAGAGATAGACAGGCTAGGAGCTTGCTTGCATGTGGCCATCTTTGGTTTAATGACAAGTACCACTCATCCCTGAGTACCACCAGGAGTGACCCCTGCGTACTGCCAGGTGTGGCTCAACTTCTCAACCCACTCGCCCAAAAAAGAATTAAGAGTTCTGGCAGAAACCAGAACCAGTGTTTGCTTTGGGAGCAAAGTAGGTGAAAGGCTGAATGGATAGGAGGTGAGGTCAGAGGGGTTAGGTTACGGATCTGCTAACATCTTGCAAGCCGTTGTGAGAATTTTGGCTTTGCTCTTCAGAATGACATGGGAGTCATGGAAAATTTTGAGCACAGGATCAACTTGATCTAAGTTTTGTGTGTGTGTGTGTGTGTGTGTGTGTGTGTGTGTGTGTGTTATTGAATCACCCTAAATGATCAAGTTACAAGATTACTCAGAATTTAGTTCCAGGCATACACATGGATCTAAGGTAGAGATACTGCACATTTCTTTTCCATGGGGTTCATTGACTTTACCACTGTTAAAAAAATTTAGTTCTCTTAAAAAATTAAGAATGTTTACGTATGGCACAAAGCTGGGGGGAGTGTGGAGGATTTGAGCCGAATCCCCCAACACCCTTCCCCCATATCAACTTACTCTCAGGCATTTGTTCTTACTGTTCTGGTAGATGAGGGTTTAGATACAGTGCCTCACTCCTTAATACACTAGTGTAAAGTCACAAACCTCTGGTCAAGTCAGTAATTTAATTATTGCATACCTTACTATTAGAATATATTCATAGTGGAGCTGAATTGTATAATGATGATTTCTTTCCTGAATACCTTTTCTACTCCTCCCTCAGCCCCCAGTGAGTTGTGGGGCGGGGAGAGCCACAGAGGTCACATCCAGTGGTGCTCAGGACTTAATCTAGTCCTGTGCTTACGCATCACTCCTGGCATGGCTGGGGGTGCCATCTGCAGTACCTGAGATCGAACCTGGGTTGGCTGCATGCAAGGTAACCCTTAACCCTAGACTCTCACTCTTGCTATCTCTGGCCCACTAACACTTTTAAAAATTTCCCTTCTCTTCCCATTGTTTGAATGCGTGGTGTCGGGTGGGGGAGATGGGGTGGGGGGGAGGATGTACACACCATGATCAGGGGCTCACATTTCAATTGTGATACTTGCCATATTTCGTTCTGGTGCCAGAGATGTCAAAGAGCAGTACCTCTGGGATCTCATTTGGCATATGGGGTAGTGCTGGGGATTAAACCCTTTTTTTTTTCTTTTTGGGTCACACCCAGCGATACACAGAAGTCACTCCTGACTTTGGACTCAGGAATTATTCCTGGTGGTGTGTGTGGGGGAGGGGGACAATATGGTATGCTGGGAATCAAACCTGGGTTGGCAGTGTGCAAGGCAAAGGCCCTACGCGCTGTGGTATCGCTCCGGCCCCAAGACCAGGGGAATTAGACAAATTCACTTTTAAAACATATTTAGTTTATTGTAAATAAACCACTTCTTCAGATAAACTCAGTGCAGGCTCTTAGGTGTTCTGGATTTCTGCCCTTTGGATTGGATGCAAGGCACTGCCTGGACTAATTCTCATTACCACTAAGTGTGGCCCCCCCAAAAGCAAACAAAATAAAAGCAGTTCACATAAGTAAACTTAGGAGTACCGTTTAAGATTTTTCCTTGTGGATATATAATTGAATGTGAAGCATAAAATTTCTTAGCTCTGTAAAAATGCCCTTTAATTTTCCTTTTGTGGAGGGAACCACAACTGGAGCAGTTGTTACTCCTGCCTCTGTGCTCAGGGCTCACTCCTGGTAGTGCCGGGGGGATTGTATGTGATACTTAGGAATCAACCCAGGGCATCTGTAAGGAAAGTACCCTCCATGCTCTATTATCTCTACAGTCTCTTAAATCTGTTTTTTGTTCTTATTTTTGGTGTTGGCAGGGTGGTTGTTGTTTGTTTTTTTGGGGTGGGGAGTCTGTGCTCCACACCCAGCAGTGCTCAGGCTTTCTCCTGGCTCTGTACTCAGGAATCATTCCTGGCGAGCAGCAAGCACCCTACCTACTATAGTGCCCTGCACACCTGTACTCCCTCTCTGGCCCCTTAAATCTCTTACCCTAGTTAATGTGTTCTTTCATAACACATTTTATGATAGCAAACACATTTATTGTGTTGACAGGATGACTTTAATCTTTGGGGCTGTGAACTCTTGCTCATGGGTCACTCTCAGTGATGCTTGGGAGGGACCCTGTGGTGTTGGAGATGGAACCAGTCTCAGCTATATGTACAGCAACCACCTTGACCTGTTGTAGTCTTTTCAGCCTGTGATTTTGTTTGATTTTCTATTTTGAAGTTCTAGTTATTTTTTTTAATATCAGTATATTATGATTAAAGTTTGCAAAATTTACATTACATATTCATTATAATACCTACCTTTAATAACTCGTAGACTAATATTTCCCAGTAGTTTCCACATTTTGGCTTTTTGTCTCATAATTTATATTCAGTAAACTTCTTCCTTTGTGAGTGTATTAAATATACAGAACACTTCTGTCATCTCAGAAATTGCTCCAGGGGCTAGAGAGGGAACTAGAGGTTGAGGCACTTGCCTTTTACATGATCGACTCTGGTGTGATTCCCTATGCCACTTGTGGTCCCCAGAACAGGTCCTGCCAGCTATAAATCCTAAGCTCCACAGAGTGTGGCCGCCCACTTTTTTTGTTAGTTTTGTTTTGTTTTTCATGCCTTTTGAAGTCAACTTCAAAGCTTTTCCACTACTTCTGGTGACTCTTATCTCATTGCTGGCATCTAGCTGTCTTTTTCAGATTGTCGCAAAAATGAAAAGTGAAAACTTTTTGTACGTGATTTTTTTTTCATTTGGCATTTTGCCTTTTTGATTCATCCAGGTTTTTATGTGCAATTGTATCATTGTATCCGTGTACCACATCAGCTGTCAATAGTAAAGCTGGTGTATGTTTCCTGAACAGGTTCTGGGATATGGGTTTATTCATTTCTTACAGGTCAGTACGTAGTGGAAGGATTTGCAAGACTTTGTGAGAGCTGCATGTTTAATATCTTTTTTAAAAAAAATTTTTTTTTTTTTTGAGAAACTACAGGGCTACCCCCCATCATTCTAAAATGACTGTCATTTGCATTCCCATTAGCTTGTGAGAGTTTCAGCTGCTCTTTACCAGCGCTGGTTGTTGTCGGGCATTTTAGCCATTTCTCAAAGTGCAGCGGGTTTGATGTGGTTTAATAATTTGCATTTCAGTGATGACCAGTAATTTGACAAATCTGTGTTTACTTGTGTCCATGTGTCTGGTGAACTTTCAGTTCAGATAACTTTTGAGGAACAGGCGGAGTGATGGTACAGCAGGCAGGGCATTTGCCTTGTACATGGCCAAAACAGGTTTGATCCCCGGCATTCCATATGTCCCCCCCAAGCACCGCCCCACGCACCTGACCTGAGCACAGAGCCAAGAATAACCCCTGCACATTGCTGGGTATGATTCAAACACCAATGTGTGTGTGTATTTTGGGGGAGTGGGACAGACCGTGAGAGGGCCGGCCTCATCCAAAGTATTCAGGGCTTATGCCTTGATCTGCACTCAGTACTCCCAACAGGGATAAAAGAGTACCATATTGAGTTTCAGAGTTCAGATTATAGTTGGCCACGTGCAAGGCAAGTGCCTTACTTGCTATATTCTCTCTCTCTAACCTGTGGAAGATTTTCTTTCCTGGTTAGAAAATAATCCTCAGGGCTTCACCAGGTAGCTATTAATGCTATGAGAAAAAATTATTTTCTACTCCTGCATTTAGAAAGAGTAACTACTCAGCCTGTCTTTTATCTGCCTCTAAACAGTATGTTGTGATTTGTTCTGAGCTTTTTTTGATGTTTAGTAATCTATTTTTTGTGTTTAAATTGTATTTTAGCGGGGCTGGAGCAAAAGCACAGCGGGTAGGGCGTTTGCCTTGCATGCAGCCGACCTAGGTTCAATTCCCAGCATCCCATATGGTCCCCCAAGCACCGCCAGGAGTAATTCCTGAGTGTACGAGCCAGGAGTAACTCCTGTGCATCGCTGGGTGTGACCCAAAAAGCAAAAAAATAAAATTAAATTAAATTGTATTTTAGCTTAATCTACCCACTTTGCACAGAATTTCAATAGTAACTCAAACTGACATTGGTAGTAAGACTCTAGTATATATTGTTTTGTAACCAAAATGTTTCTGAAAATGGGTATTTAAAGTAGGGGAAATAGGTTATCATGATGCTCTAAGGTCGCTTTTTTTTTTTTTTTTTTTTTTTTTTTTTTTTTTTTTTTGCTTTTTTGGGTCACACCCAGCAATGCTCAGGGGTCTCTCCTGGCTTTGCACTCAGGAATCACTCCTGGCGGTGCTTGGGGAACCGTATGGGATGCCAGGGATCGAACCCAGGTCAGCCACATGCAAGGCAAACACCCTACCCACAGTGCTATCGCTCTGGCCCCGATGCTCTAAGTTTCAACTGAGCCATAGAGTATCTAGTTAAGAAGCAAACAAAACCCTTTGAATGGTATTTAAAACTGTGATATGACTATTAAAGTTTGGTAATGACTCCTGCCACTTGAGCTGATTCTTCTTGCTCTGTAGGTAATGGATTGAGGTGTTGAGGTTTTTGTTTGTTTGTTTGTTTTTGTGTTTGTTCTTTCATTTTCTTTTGGTAATCATTTATTTGAGAGTAAGGGAGGAGCACTAGGGTGATCGGAGGTTGTTTCTGACTCTTCTTGGAAAGCATGCATGCCTGGGATGGGAGGAGCATCAGCCATATGCAAGGCTAGTAACTTACATCCCATACTATAGCTCCTGCCTCATTGAGTCTCTGAAATGAAAAACGCCAATTTTCAGTTTCTTGATCAAAGCACCGGTGGTGCACTCCTTTGCAGTTCACTGTTCTGGGCTAATTTTTTTTTTCTAATTTATTAATTCAGTAGTAAATCTTCTTTTCTGTGTTCCTTGGTAGATGTGGTGGTACCGTGGGAGCGATTCTGACATGTCCACTGGAAGTTGTGAAAACACGACTGCAGTCATCTTCTGTGACACTGTATATCTCTGAAGTTCAGCTGAATACAATGGCTGGTGCCAGCGTCAACCGAGTCATGTCTCCAGGACCTCTCCATTGCTTAAAGTGAGAGCGCAGCAGTCAGGATTTGGGAGGTGGGGGGCATGGGGACCAGGGATGGAGTCCAGGGCCTCATCCATGCAGTGTGTGTTCTGTCTCTGAGCTGCAAACTGGCCGATTCAGGGTTTTGTTTTCAGTTTGTTTACCCTAATGATGCCCGTGGTTGGTTGTTTATATTCTCCCATATTTTAAAAAGCTCTAAAACATAATGACAGTTACTCTGTATTATATATTCCCATTTGAAATAATAATCCCTAATGGAGAGTACAGTTAGATTCTAATCATTTCTAATATTTTTTAGAATATTTATAGAATAGATTTCTATTTAATTTACAGGTTTGTTTTAATAGGGGTAACAGTGTTAATGCTTAAGCTTTGGCATGTAAATTTATTGCATGTTCACCACCGTCAAAGTGCCAAAAACCATCTTCCTGTTCTTTCTACAGTGAATTCCTTTTCTAAATTTATATAGCGATAGCACTGAGCGGTAGGGCGTTTGCCTTGCTCGCAGCCAACATGGCCGACCCAAGTTCGATTCCTCCGCCCCTCTCGAGAGCCCGGCAAGCTACCGAGAGCATCTCGCCCGCACGGCAGAGCCTGGCAAGCTCCCCGTGGCGTATTCGATATGCCACACACAGTAACAACAAAGTCTCCAATGGAGACGTTACTGGGCCCGCTCGAGCATTTTAGATTATTCATGCTTTTTTAAACTTTTTTATTATGTTAATGCATTTTGCATTATTTAATTTTACAAGTACAGAAGTAAATTCAATTATCAGCAGTCTAATTTATATAAACTAAACATAAGTGAGATTTAGAGTAGAACTCTACTGATTTAAAAATGGAATTTGTGGGGTTGGAGCCATAGCACAGTGGGTAGGGCGTTTGCCTTGCACGCGTCTGACCCGGGTTCGATTCCCAGCATCTCATGTGGTCCTCCGAGCACCGCCAGGAGTAGTTCCTGAGTGCATGAGCCAGGTGTAACCCCTGTGCGTTGCCGGATGTGACCCAAAAAGAAAAAAAATAAAAATGGGATTTGTTTAATGTTGCTTGGTGGTTTTTAATCAACTAACTCAGTACAAACTTAGTTCAGTAATGTTTGTTTTGTAATAGCAAATAAATGCATACCGTGTTTATCCTGACAAAATATTTTATCACTTTTCTTTATTCAGATTTATCTAAGAACTTGGATAGTGAATAGTAGAATAAAATTAATTTCATGAAAGTGGCCAGTCATAGATAAAATACTTCTGAATAAGTGTTTTAATTGTATGGTTTTGACTTTGGTCCTACTGATTATCTTTTCATAGAAATTTTTCTTTGAATCTCTGTCAGTAAAGATGTATAGTTATGTGATTATATGTATGTATATAAGCACATTTCTGGTCCTATTTTCACTGGTTTTGCCTTTTTTTGGGCGGGGGTGTGGCGGGATGCCAGGCCTTTCAAGTGTTGCTTAAAGGGCCAGCTCCCACCAGTGATTCTTTGCCAACTGGGCTGGCATTTCAGTGGCAGGGCTCAAGGATTCAGCACTGCTCAGGCAACGGTGCTGGGGGTGCAGCAGCCACCGAGCCACCCAAGTGGTGCTTAAGGGCCTCTGGGTCTGTGCCTGGCTGTGCATGTGAGATCAAGAGATGGCAGGGATCAGAAGGGGCCTGGTTCATGCACCCTAACCACTGCGTCATCTCCTGGCCCTTATGTCTGGTCATGTCTGACTTCGTAGGAGTGTAGTCACATCTTGGTGGCTCTGTTTTTTCAGACCTTCTTGTGCATCAGCCTACCACATTTCACCTGTCTCTGAACCATCAGTCTCCTGCACTCCTGTTCCCATTGTCTCCCTGCTCAGGGACTAGGGCTTGCTCTCCTCATCGCACTGTTATGGCTATCAGCATCTTTACTGGAATAGAATTTAGCCATCTAAAGTGTACGGTTCCATTGTTTCTGGTATATTCATAGAATCATGTGACTATTGCCATTTCCACATTTAGAACATGTTCATCATCCGCACAAAAGTAAAACCCTTCTTAATCAGCAGTAAGTCACTCCTCCTTTCCTCTCACCTCCACCCCTTATTTGCTTATTTACAAATATAGATTTGCCCTTTCTAGACATTCAACATGATTGAATCACATAAAATGTGGTCTCTGTTCACTGGCTGTATGTTTTCAAAGTTCATTATGTTCTAACAAGTGTCATTTTATTGTCAAAATGACTACCCCATTTTGTTTGTTCACTGACTAGTTGGTGGCCATTTGGGTTGTTTACACTTTGGCGGAGATTAGGCCACTCTAGGGACATGTGTTCTTTTCTCTCCAGGATAGACTTGGAGGACAGCTGCCCAGTGATGCGACCGGTCTAACATTTCTCCTAAGCGGCTTGGGGTCTTCTTTACCTTCCCACTACCTGGGAATGAGATTTCTGCTTGTGTGTGTCCCCAGGGACCCCTCTTGTCATTATGACTGTTTCGGATTATAGACATCCTGTCAGAGCGCAGTTCAGGGTTTCTTGGCTGGCAAGCTTTAGAATCCCTCGTGGGCTTTTCTTTGTGTCCCAGGTAGCTAATGGATGAACTCAAGAGGTCTGTAAACTCGATAAAGTTGTATACAAAATCGTTGGTGGGGATTTACAAATGTGTGGTTTTGTGTTTCTGCAATTTTGGTGGTGGAACCCAGAGCTCACATATGTCAGGCATACATTTCACCTCCCAGCCACATCCTCAGCCAGATATTTATCTTTTTCTTTAAGAAGAGCTTTTAGACCCTCCCAGATTTTCAAAGGGATTTATGCTATAGAAATGACTAGCATCATGAATATTCAAAATATGCTTCTGTACAATTTTTTATTTTAAACTGTTTGAGTCTAGTATTGCTGGCATTGCTCTGGACTGCTTGAGTCGGCATCAGAGAACCCATATTGTAAACAAATGTTCTGGCACAATGATAATGACATTAAGATGTCAAGTGCTTACTTTGTATCTTTATTAACTTGCTGAGTCTTCACTGGAATCTCAAAAATGGCCACTGGTTTTTCCTATTTCCTATCAGTGGAAATGAGGTAAGAGAAATTACATTTGGTTCTCCCTACTCATCAGCTACGTTTGAGCTTAATACTTGAGAAGTCTGACCTCACAACTCAGAATCTTAACTAACCATGTGCTGAATTATCTTTCAAGAGCTCATTCTTGGTGCTTATAGGGGGAACACACAGGGATGCTCAGTGGCCGTTGCTGGCTCTGTGCTTGGGAATGACCCCTGGTAGTCCTCAGGGTGCCACAAATGGCCATGGGGCTCAAACCAGGAGGGCCACAAGCGAGGCAAGTGCCTTACTCCACACACATTCTCCAAGCTCCTTCTTTGGTTGGGGGAAGGGCTGACTTCCCAGTAGTCCCTGAGCCCTCTGACCTCATTGGTTAACTCTGGATTAAAATAACTGCTCCTGGCCAGAGCAGTAGTACCACAAGTAGGCACTTGCCTTGCATACAGCTGAACCATGTGTGATCCCTGACATCCCATCAGGTTCCCCTGAGCCCAGGAGTAACCCCTGAGCAACACTGGGTGTGACCAAAAAAAATAAAATAAAAGTAGCTACTCCTCCATCTTTGTTCTTGCCTTTCAGAATTTATAAATCACTCTCAAGCTCTTCACTGAATTAGATATGCCTGTGTTTCTTTGCAAGGCATATGTGTCTGTCTCAGGAAGTTTTTACTTATTAATAGGGTCTATTACATTGTCTAATTTAACTTTCCACAAATAGAAATTTCTCAGTGACATAGGACCCCTTGCCCACGTTGTTTTGTCTCCTTAGTCTTCCTAGTTTTTTTTTTTTTTTTTTTTGATATTTTATACTTACTGTTGTTACTGTGTCTGGCATATCAAATACTCTCGGTAGCTTGCCGGGCTCTCCGAGAGGGGCAGAGGAATCGAACTCGGGTCGGCCATGTTGGCCGCTTGTAAGGCGAACGCCCTACCCGCTGTGCTATCGCTCCAGCCCAGTCTTCCTCCTTTTAATGCAAAGTAAAGTAAAGGCCCTCCCGTTGATCATCGATTTGCTCGAGCGGGCCCAGTAACGTCTCCGTTGGAGACTTTGTTGTTACTGTGTTTGGCATATCGAATACGTCACGGGGAGCTTGCCAGGCTCTGCCGTGCGGGCGAGATACTCTCGGTAGCTTGCCGGGCTCTCCGAGAGGGGCGGAGGAATCGAACTCGGGTCGGCCATGTTGGCTGCGTGCAAGGCAAGTGCCCTACCGCTGTGCTCAAATATTTCATAAAAGTTAAATGAGTAGGATGGGAAATGACAACTGGTCTCCTGTTGTAAAAGAATGCGAGGGTGATTAAATTTTCCCAGAGCATTTTTCTCTGGAATAGTCAGAGGAGATAATTCTGCAGAATTGAGTGTTGTCTAATATTGAGGAAAGAACTTAACATACTTGGAACGTACATTTCTAATCAGGAGTTGAATGTAATAGTAAAGATAGTAAAATGAAAGGGATTGAAATTAAGGGTGGCGTGATCAGATTCAGAGATAGGTTAGATAGGTCAGTAGGCTGAGCACTGCTCTGCATGCAAGAGGCCTGTATTCTGTTCCCATTCTGCCTGGCCTATAAGCAGCTCTAGGAGCCACCCCTGAGCACTGATCGAAGAGTAGCCCCGGAGTACGGTGGCTCCCCCAAAAAACCAACAAGAAATAATTATTGTAGAAATCTATAATGGCGTCTTTAAAACCTTTAGGAACGTTTTTTAAGTCAAGAAAAGTTCTTTTTCATAAATAAGGATCTGAAAATTTATTTTCATAAATAAGGATAACTGGCTCAAATAATATTCGAGGATAAACTGAGGACTTAGAGCCTGTTTGTTATACAATTAAAGTACCGGGCTTTCAAGGACTTCCCTGTCTAAATAATATTTTCTGTTTTTCAGGATGATCTTGGAAAAAGAAGGACCTCGTTCCTTGTTTAGAGGATTAGGCCCCAATTTAGTGGGGGTTGCTCCTTCAAGGTAAAAAGTGTTAAGCAAAACTGTGACCATCTTTCTTAGTTCTAGCTTACTGTGGGAAGATGCTAAAGAGAACCAGGGTCTGTATAGCAAACTGGTGTTGGTAGTCTTTCCGAGATGAGAAACGGATTATACCAAGTTCAGAATTCAGTGGGAGGGAGGGGTCCAGGGATGTGGCTTGGTCATCAAGCACCTGCTTTGCACATACAAGCGCATGGTTTTGACTCCCAGCACCACATGCACATCAAGAATAGACTGGAAGCCAGTGAGAGGAGGTGGGGGATCTGGAGATCTAGAACTGAGCTCAAATTTTGGCTTAGGTTATAAATCACATGGTTTAGCTGCCTTCTCTGCTAAAGGAGCCGAACATTGGCCACCACAGTAGTTGTTGAGACTGACTCTGGGTGGGACCCCCCTACAGTTTTTTAAGAGGTCAAAAGGCATTGAAGGCCTTGCCTCCAACCCTCTCTCCCTCCCCTCCTCCACATCTGACAGTGCTCAAGGTTTGCTTCCAGTGGTGCTTGGTATTATGCAGTACTAGGGATCAAATCCAGGCCTTCTATAGGCAAAGCAGGTTCTCAGGTCTTCTCTTCTCTCTCTCGCTGTCTCCACCCCCTTTCTCCCCCTCCCTCTCTTCTTCCCTCTTTCCCTCCCTCCCTCTCCTTTCTTCCTGTCTCTCTCTCTGATAATATTTTATCTTTGTTTGGTTTGGTCTGTTTCATTTTGTTTTAATATTTTATCTTTGGTCCTTGGCTTTCTCCATTCCCAGCTCTTTGAAAAATTCATGTGACTAGTAGAAATGTATGTTCAGCTTTCTGTATCAAAGTCATGTGTCAGCTTTGTTTTATTAGCTCTCACCTTTGTGGGGCGGGGGGAGGTCTGGGCCACACCCAGCTGTGCTTGGGGCTTACTCCTGGTGGTGCCTTGGAGCCATATGTAGGGTTGGTCACATGCAAAGAAAACACCTTATCCCCTGTACGAGCTGGCCCCAGCTTCAATTCACTCTTTTTCTGTCTTGAGAATTCTTCAAGGTCCAAGATACATTACTTTGCTTGTGGCCTACCTGGATTTATCCTCGGTGCCACTTAATGGGCCCTGAGAACTGCCAGGAGTGAACCCTGGTCACTGCTAGGCTTGTTCTCCGCCCTCCAAAAAAAGACTTTTCCCAAATTTGGGGCCAAGAATATAGATTGGCTATCCTGCCACATGCACACACAAATGTGACAGGATAGAACTTTCACAATGAAAGTTTCACCTTCGTTATAAAAAAAAACGATAATTAAGTAAGGTTTGACATAGTACCTCACTCTATATCTCACATTTACTAACTCTTCTCCCTATAATTGACCACCATTGATATAAATAACTTTTATGCAAATAAAATCTTACATTTTTCTGGCTTGTCATATATAAGGCTTTTTTTGTACTCATTACGTAAATAAAAATTACACAAAATACGTAACAAATTTTGTCTTGAAGCTTTTCACATTGAATATGTTATGATTTTTTTCACTGAGCCAGGAATGTGACTCAGTGGCCAAGCATATTCTCCGCATATGTGAGGCCCTAGACTTGATTCCTCTTGCTGCAGAGACTAATAAGCTTCCCACTTTTGAAATAACTTTAGATTATTTCTAGATTTTTGCTGCTTGTGAGCATAGGTGTGCCTTTACAGTACTTTAGCAAATGCTAAAAGTTCTTTAGCATTCTTGGGTGCTGCTCAGCCAGTGTAGAAAGGTTAAAAACCACTGGTGTACCACCAATTGCCATTCTGTGACAGTACACAAGACAGGCCACCCCAATCCTATAATTGGAGTTTCTGAACAAAATGACATGCTCATTTAACTTTGTTTTGTGATACCAAAGCCTTACAAACTCTACCACTTAGCTATATCTCCAACCCCACACATTGAAAATCAGTATTTCTTGGGGCCGGAGAGATAGTACAGAGGGTACGGAAGGTGCTTGCCTTGCGTACAGCCAACCTAGATTTGACCCCCGGCATCCCATATGATCCTCCAAGCACTGCCAGGAGTATCCCTGAATGTAGTGCCAGTAATTCTTGAGTGTAATTCCTGAGCACCACCAGGTGTGGGCCAAGAAACAAAAACTATTTCAGTATTTCTCAGTGTTGCCTTCAGAAAAAGCATGTCATGTTTTTGTTCTCAAATAATGAATTCATTTTTCTATATTCTCTCGCCCACACGGCAGAGCCTGGCAAGCTCCCCGTGACGTATTCGATATGCCAAACAGAGTAACAACAAAGTCTCCAATGGAGACGTTACTGGGCCCGCTCGAGCAAATCGATGATCAACGGGAGGGCCTTTACTACTTTCTATATTAGCATGTTATCAATGATGACCACTGCCCATATCTTTTAATACTGGCTCAGGTAGACTAGCCATGAATTTCTATTTTATTGCACATTGTTTATTTATTTATTTATTTATTGCTTTTTGGGTCACACCCAGCGATGCACAGGGATTACTCCTGGCTCTGCACTCAGGAGTTACTCCTGGCGTTTCTCAGGGGACCATATGGGATGCTGGGAATCGAACCCAGGTCGGCCGCGTGCAAGGCGACCGCCCTACCCTCTGTGCTATCTCTCCAGCCCTTGCACATTTAATTTTTGTGTGATTGCTCCCTCCTTATAATATTTGCCATTTATGTATCTGATGTGAATTGCCTTACATGGTTCTTGCCTGTTTTCATATCTGGATATGTTTTCATCTTGATTGCTAAAAATATACACCCTTTTCAGGATTATGTACCTTCTTTCCCCATTCTCATAAAAGTAAATTATTGTATTCAAGTTAGATTGACTTCCCTTTTTTCTCACGGACATTAAAAGGCACCATACCAAAACTTCTTATTGGTCTTGTTTGCCTTTTTCTGGACAGATAATTAGAGTTGTGAAATAACAGGATACAGCAAACATTAAATTCAGTTAAGTACCCAGAAAACTAAACATGCAGGCAGTAGTTGGGATACATAAAGTGAAGTCAACAAATTAGCAATAAAATGAACACTAGATTCAGTGGGATGTTTGCAGATGTTAGAAAACATTACTGGCTGCTGGACACTGATTTCTTCTAGATCTGTTTGATGACAGATACTGTGGGCCACTGTGCTGGTAGAGACCGATGACCCAGTACCTCATCATGCTCCAACATCTGCGGTGATCAGTCAGTTCCATTCTCCCTCCCACTCTAGAGCAAATGTGTTGTTTCTTTGTTTATTTAAGTGCTCATACCACGTTGACCTAGCTCAGTTGAGTGTATTTAACTTAGCCCTCGCATTACACAAGCCTTCCCATCTGAGTTTTGTGTTGTCCAGTCATCAAAATCTTTTACAGCTCTTAGTTTCTGTTAGTTGCTTTTGAAATAGGGATCAGGTATGGGTTAGGGTATGCTGGAGGTTCGTAGGATACTAGGAACTTTACATAAGAATTTGTCTTTTAGTCAATAAAAAAAATACATAGCTCAGGGTCGTTATGGTGGGGGGAAATGTGTATATTAACCTGATATTACACCAAAATATGCCGGGATTTCAGGTTTCTTTACACTAGAATTATAAAAGTCAGTTTGCTTGTGACTTAAATTTTAAGAATTAAGGAATCACACTGATTGATAAAAACACAAATCTTTATTCTAGAGCAATATATTTTGCTGCTTACTCAAACTGCAAGGAGAAGTTGAATGGTGTATTAGATCCTGATTCTACCCAGGTACACATGATTTCAGCTGCAATGGCAGGTATGAATATATAGTATTAAAAAAAGAAAGCTACCTGTAGCCTAGTATTGATATTAAAACCAAGGTTGAATACTGAATTAAGATAATTTATGTTGAAAAGTTTAATTAATGTGCTTGTTATTGAATAGCATCTGCAAAAATTAATTTTTACATTTATTAGTATATGCTAAATTTCATCAAGAGTCTATGCTACCTGTGTTCAAATGCCTTTTTTTGTAATTAGAATTTTAAATAATAGTATATAAGTAATGCATTTATATTGTCTTGTGTAATTCACTATATACTTACTTAGAGATCACTTTGAACAGTTTTAAGAATCCAAACTTAGTTTACTGTATGCTGTAGAGCTGCAATTTATTCTTCTCTCCTCAATTTCTGTTAGTGCCTTTTCCCTTTTTGCTGCATGTTTTGGCCTCTGTCTGAAATGTGCCAGCAGTTCTTGGTAAAGTATTCATTTTGTCCTGTGCTCAAATGCTGAGATTTTTTAGAGTCATGTGTTAACTGATAAGTCTGTTACTGTACTGTCTGTATTTTGAAGGGTTTGTTTAGTACTACTCCACATGAATCAGTTAGAGGACACCTGGAATGTAGGCACTGGCTGTCGGTGCATGCTTGCTCTGAGAATGTTTCTGACAGTTTGCTGAGCTCTGTTGCAGATTCATACTTCCAAATGAAGTTATGACTTCATAAAGCAAATTTTAGCTACTTCCACCTTCATCAGTTGTTTGATAAATGAGTGCCTTGGACTCTTAACCATTTTCTGTTTACAAATAAATTGGGCCAAATTGAACCACATTTATGAAGTGTACTTTTGAAATACTCATTTCTGAAAGGTCAATGGCCATATGTTAAATTCGTGTATACTTTGAAAATTTTTTTCCAGACCTCTTATCCACTAATTGTTGACTCTGAAGTTTGAAAGCTAAGAGGTACTATCTTAAGAATATAGGTGGTGAAATATTTGAAATAGCTTAAGCAATGTAATTTACATCATCCTCCTTTAACTGTCTCTGGACTGCAGAAGTTGGTCAATACAGATTCAGGTTTCAAGTATTAGTTCTTTAATACCATGGAGATTATCTAGTTACAACTAGAATTTTTTTCTTTTTGGTGGTTTTCGGTTTTGGGGCCACACCTTGCAGTGCTTAGGAACTACTCCTGACTTGGACCATGTGGTGCCAGGATTAAACCTGGACCTATGGCATGCAAAGTATACATTCCAGCTCTTTGAGCTTTCTTCCCCTAGAGTTTTCTTTAATGTGCTTTTTACATATGTTGAATACAGGTAAATAGGATTTCCCTCCCTTATAAAAATTTGAGTGGGTCTAAGGTAAAGTTAGTGGCCAATGATAAACTGTCTAACTGCTGTAGTAGGTTCTTTCAGAATGTATTTCTGGATTACTAGAGTTAATTTTCTTTTGATCCCATAAAATTTTTGAAGAAAGTGACATCAAGACAGTAGATAAGCAGTCATGTTCAGTTTAGATTTTGTTACTATATTTATTATTATAAATGTTGAGTGTCAGAATATAATTAACTCCTCAGATCACCTTTTTTAATTAGCCTTTCTCATCAGAAATTATTACCGTATTTATATTACATTGCAAAAAATTTCAGTATTACTGCACTTTTCCCCTCAAATGTGTACAAATGTTAACTCAGTTTGCTTTATCTGTGTACATTGATACTAGTTTCCAACTTGAGTCTGTGGAGTTTCGATGAAATTTTCGCACTTGATGTGAGATCGTTGCACTTTATATTTACTGTGTAATTTGAAAATACTTCTTTGATTTGTTTGCAGTGGCAATTTTCTGAGAATTGTGTTTCCAGAGCTTCCTTGCACTATCCATGAGCATTAACATTTAGCTTTGCAGTTTTTGTACATAATTCCTTGGTGAAGCTGAGTGGTTCTCTGCAGACCCAATAAGGTAGCCTTTTGCCCCCTTCATTCTTCAGCTAATCTAGATTAGTCTGCCTCGATTTTTCTTCAGAGTCATTTGGAAAGGTTCTCAATATAAAATGGGCAAAGTGCTTAGGGCCATGTGAAAAACTAGTTTTTTAACTGGCTGTAGCCTCCCCTAAAAAAAATGCTAACCTTGTCATTTTAGTACTGAAAAATCGCTTAAATAGACCATCAGTGATAAATGTCTTCAAGATTTTGGCACACCAAATAGTACACATTAATGATTTTTATACTGCAGTGTTCCTAGTAAACCTTATAATCAGTTGCGTTTTGCATTCCTATGAACTTGAGTATTTAGATTCTAAATCTTTAAAAGAACAATCAGTCTATCTAAACTGGTTTTATTTTCATCTGGTTTTGTGTTTCAAGATCTATCTGTAGGGATTTGTTCGTTTTTTGTTTTTGGGGCCACACCCAGCAGTGCTCAGGGCTTTCTCCTGGCACTCAGAAACGAATGGGATGCTGGGAATCAAACGCAGGTTAGCAACATGCAGGACAAGCACCCAGTCTGCTGTGCTCTCGCTCCACCCCCATCTGAGTAATTTGTAAACGTGAAAGATTAAGCTCTATATTTTTGTGCATTGAGAATTGTGAGGATATTTAATCAAATTAAGTAATGTTGACATTTTGTTTTACCTGCCATTCCTATAATCCCGCCACAGAGTCATCATTGTCGGGCTAAGTATGTTTTAGCTATCAAAGGTACTTGTTTTATTGAGGGTGTTTTACTTCTTTGTTTCCTTTTAAATAAATTGACATATCCCTCTGTAAATACTTGTAGAAGTTCCATTTTATACTAATTCCCCATTTTTGTAAGTTTTTTTATGGCCTATGTATTCTGTGGCCTGTGTATGACTATAGTGTAGTTGTTTAATATACTACAAACCTACTTGGTTTGCTTTATAGCACTAGTGTTGTTATTCATGATCCTTTTTTTTATTGGGACTTTTAACATTTTTTTCTTTTTACTTGAAGTTTAGTGTAAAGGTTAAGTTTTTACTCATAATATCTTGGAAGTAGGTTTTTTTTTAATGTTTTGTTTGTCCGTGGCAGCTCACTATGCCAAATGGATGGTTGACATATATTTTATATGTTTGTGTGTAAATGTTTTTCCGTTTTTGTTTTGTAGAACACAAGAAATTAAAGACAAAATAATCCAAAATATTGTCTAGCAATGGATGTGCGATATTAACTGGCAGTAGTACAAAAGGTTAAAGGTATTATTTTAAAAACATATGCAGCATTTTATTAAAAATATTATAGTTGCAAAATTTCTTAAATATTACGGGATTTTCTTTAAGATACGTAAAGAAAGAAAGTTGATTTATAGTTTCAACTCTGATTACCATAGATTAAAATGGGATCTGATAGTAGTGTCTGAAAATTTTCTTAGATTCCCGTTTGACAAGGTTAGCATTTTTTCTTTAAGGAAAACTTGGTCCTTTAGGTAAGTATTTGGACTCTGAAACTGCTACAGATAGCAGAATTTTCAGTTCTTGGTGCATTTTTAAAATACAATTTATGACCCATTCTGATATTCCTTCATTTTTCTTTTTAATTTAAAATTTTCAAAAAATTAGATCTCACAGTAAATATTTTTCAAATCCTTCCAATGGGATTCATTTTGTACACATGTTTCTGATGAGGTCACTGCTTGTTATTATGATACAGAAAAGCCTGTGTCTATTTTAGGCATTTACTGTACATTTCTCCCGAGAAAAGAGTGAGATCCTGTCATCTCATGCTCCCCATCCGCAGGTCACTCCTGTAGAAATATGGACTAACTTACACCTCGTGAGTACTCATCTGAGCATCTCTTGCAGCCTCTAGTTTAAGAACACACCCTGGGAATTGATAATAGCTGTGGAATTAGTTTATAGAGGCGGGAAAAGAACTTTTGTTTCCTGAATTGACGGTATCTGAGTATTTCAGAGTTTAATTCTGATTCCTTCATAAAATTCCTTCTAGAAGGAAAGTGGGTAACTTTTTAGTCATTGTGTAATAAATGCCTGGGGTCTTCAACTTAGCTATATAGTCCTGACTTCCAAAGATTTTGGTAACAGTCTTTAAAGTATACATTTGTAAATGATATAATACTGCTGGACAACCTGTAGGAAGATTAGTAGTTCTCTTTGCTTAACAGATTTAAAATCTAATTCCCTGCTTCCCACACTCTTATCTATTGATACTTGGCTTTCGACTCTCCTACTATAATACTTAGAATTACTTAGCAAACAAATGCAGGATAATAATATATAGAGTCTTAGACGTTTTGGTTTTAAATGGGATCTTGGGCTTAGGTTTGATTTGGAGTTTGTTGTTGTTTTTAACTTTAATGCTTTTAGAGCATGGGGTGGGCTTTGATGTAGAAGTCAAGAAACCAAAGTTCTGAAAATGAATACATTATTACAGGTGTCACTCACTTAATGAAATAGATATTTTCATGAAATTTACTTTAGGCCGGATTTCTGTGCCATCTGTTTTTCCGTTTTTTATTATCAGAGGGAGATTTTAACATTGCATTATGAAATACTTTGTTTTACTATGCGTAAGCAAAAAGGCCAAGAAGCAATTTTTTCAAAACTGCTTGTAACAACATACTAACAATCCTGCTAGCCCTATGGCCCTTTGCCTTGACTGCCTCGAGAGCAATGTCATTCTTAACCCGGAGAGTCTTCACATGCTTCTAAGTCCGTTTTACTGGTTAACTGTGTGCAGAATATTAATATGTATTAACATCGCCACGATTTTATAAAATTTAAATGTCAAAATTAAAAATTATAGAAAACTAAATATGAAGGTTAATGTTGCCCAATGTTTGCCTTTTTGTCAACTTCAACTTCAGATTGCCTTATTGTAATCTTCATTTACAAAGTTTTATTTCTTCACAACTTGTTTAATCTTGAATAGTCAAATTTTTCTATATTTAACTAGCCTAATAATTTCTACTTAAGTTTGAGTGTCATTGGTTAAGAGAAAGTAATTATATAAGTTAGACAAGGACCAGTTTTAATTGGTAAGGGCCCAACAGTTAAAAACCTGTGTATTATGCTAGACTTTTTATTTAACCTAATGGTTTACTGTAGGCAGATTAATGTCTTTCTTACTGGGAGATTAATGTCTTTATGATAAACACCAAGCATATTGGCAAAATGGAACAAAAGCGGCTGTAGTCAGGGCAGACTATTAATAGAGGGAAGAAGTGACAACGTTTCTCTAACCTACATTTAAAAACTGTCCTGTTCTGTAGGTTCATTTGTGTTTAAAAGTGAATTTTATTTAATTAAGAAATAACTGTTGTTTGCATACTGCCACAGTTTATTAATATTTACAGAAAATAATTGTTACTGAAATTTGCTAGTGGCGACTAAAAAAATTGGGTGGACAGTTTTTGGGTTTGTTTTGTTTCTGGGCCACACTGGGCAATACTCAGTGCTACTCCAGGCTCTGTACTCAGGGATCACTCCTGGCAGTGCTCAGGGGATCATATGGGATGCCAGGGATCAAAACCCAGGTCGGCCGTGCCCTGACTACTGTATTTTTGCTCCAATCCCCTGGGCAGATATTTTTAAAATGTGTATCTGAGGGGATTTATTTCAGCCTCATTTTGTAGAATTTTACATCTTGATTATTAGGTAGAAATTTTTGAAGTAGAATTTTTATCAAAGAAACTTACTTTATTTTCAAGCAAAATTAATAAATGAGATTTTTACTTCAACAAGGTTCAGAGATTTGGGTTGTTTTGATTTGGTTTTTTTTGGAGGGGGTATTCTTTTGGCAGTTTTTTGTGACATAAATAGTTTTGTTTTGTGAATATGAGAGAGAAGAGAGGAAGCCCCATAAAGTAAAGGAAAGAAACAAAATAACCAGGCTTGAAAGCAGGCCATCAGAACTGGGGTTATTTTGGTTTTCAAATTTTAATTAAAATAAACCAATAATGATAGAAATAATTGAGACCAATGCAGAATACATCGCACTTAGTAGCATTTAACTAATAAACCTCAAAATATTCAACTAATACAAACACTTAAGTCTTCCACTAAAGAATCATTAAATTAGATATGACTAGAATACTGATTTTCTAATTCATACTTGCTTTAAAATATAATTTAAATAGCTTTAGTTTGACATTTTTGAAGTTCAAGAATGAAAAAATAATGTGTAATTTCTCAAGCCACATCATGAAAGAAAAATATTTTCCAAACAATAAATTCAAATGGTCTAATTCATATTTTTCCTTTTTTTAACCCAAAATATAAACATAAAAAGACCCTCTTACTTAAAAATGGTCTTTTTGTGACAACTGTTCAACATTTTAAAACTGAATATTTTTTTCTGGTTAATTTTGGGTTTTGAGCTACATGAAGCAGTGATCATAGTAACTCCTGACTCTGCTTAGGGATTAGTCCTGGCAGTGCTTGGGAGACTATATGTGTGTCAGGAATTGAACCCAGATCTGTCGCTTGCAAGGGAAGTGGCCTATTACCTATCTCTCCAGTCCCTATTTAGTATTTTTTAGTTGCTGGGGTTAAACCCAGGGCTTCCTATATATGAGGCATGTGCTGTACCACTGAGCCACAGACCTAAATTATTATTGTTCAAGTACCAGCTGAGGGGGCTAGAGCAAATAGCATAGCAGGTAGGGTGTTTGCCTTGCACGCGGCCGACCCAGGTTCGATTCCCTGCATCCCATATGGTCCCCTGAGCACCACCAGGGGCAGTTCCCGAGTGCAGGGCCAGGAAACCCCTGTGCATTACCAGGTGTGACCCAAAAAGAAAAAAAATCAAGTACCAGCTGATACTTAGAGATTGGTCAGGTTCTAGTTTTATCTATATGAATGTATGTAGTACTAAAAGTGCTTCAGGGAAATGGATTAAAATAACCACTGTAAAATTATTAGTGGAGTTAATCTAACTTTCCACCCCCCTTGAGAGATTCTATTTGAGCATTTTTTTTGTTTTTTTGTTTTGTTTTGTTTTGTTTTTTAGCATTCTTTTGTGAAATAACTAGTTATTTCTTTAGTGGATTAGGGGAATAAAAATATTTGTTTGGCGGGGGACCAGAACAAATAGTATAGCAGGACACTTGTTTGCGTGCAGCCGACCCAGGTTCAATCCCTAGCACCCCATATGGTCTCCCAAACCCACCAGGAGTGATTCCTGAGTGCAGAACCAGGAGTAAGCCCTGAACACTGCTGGGTGTGGCACCAAAAATTTGTTTTTGTTTGGGGCACACTTGTCAGTGCTTGGAACTACTCCAGGCTCTGTGCTAGTGGGTTGCTCCCAGTGATGTTCAGAGGACCAAGGATCATGCAATCCCAGATATCCAACCCAGGCCTCCCCCTTCCAAAGCTTGCTCTCACCAGCCCAAAGAAGATAAAAGTTGAATTAGTTCATCATAGAAGGGGCAAGAATCAGTCAACAAAATTGCAGTTTTTGTTTTGGTAGGTGGGAGGAAATGATACTCAGCTCTTTTCAGTGGCTATTCCCAGCTCTGCTCAGGAGTCACCCAGGTGGCACTTGGAGAACCATTTAAGCAGTTTAACAAAATTATATTTCTAGATATATTGATTGGTGTGCACATCAGCACTTCTGTTTCCAGAAGTATTTTACTCATATTCATGTTAAATGTGCTGATTGCATTCTGCCTTTCTAAAATAATGGGTGTGACCTGCTAGTATATGATAGAATAGAGAGTATTAAAATGATAATTCCAAAAAAATTTTCTTATATAGATTTTCATTGACTTCTAGGCCAGTGAATAAATAACAGGTCTCTCACTTTTTTTTTTTTTTTTTTTGCTTTTGCTTTTGCTTTTTGCGTCACACCCAGCGATGCACAGGAGTTACACCTGGTTCATGCACTCAGGAATTACTCTTGGTGGTGCTCAGGGGGCATATGGGATGCTGGGAATCGAACCTAGGTCAGCTGCGTGCAAGTTAAACGCCCTGCCCACTGTGCTATTGCTCCAGCCCCAGGTCTCTGACATTTTTGTACCTAAGCTTTGGGGAAGTAGTCTTCCTAAGTCCCTTCATCAAGCTGCATTCATGTGCAGCTATTTTTTTTGTTTTGTTCGTTTATTTATTCAGAATTCAGGCGTAGTTTGGAGAATACTAGGAAAATCGAGAGGAGAAAATAAATACTAACTTAGCAGTATCCTCTTCCAGAGATCTTAATCTACTGCCTCAAGTGGCCCATTGTAGAAGTTCCCCTTTCACTGATGGCACATCATAGCTAACTTTTAAGGTCAGCCAGATCTGCCTTCAGTCCTGAATTTCTCCCTTACGGAAGTGCCACTTCAAAAATTGTTGAATTTTATGTGTGGGTTTTTTTTTTTTTTTGAGTCTTTGTGTTTAGTAGATTAAAAATGCATTTGTCATTTTAACCCTAACAGAGACCTTGCCTCTGATACCATTATTTAACAGTATTAGTGTGTGTTTTTAAGGCCAGTGCTGAGATTCATGTTGAACACTTGTTGAGCATAGTGATTGGGGTGGTAATTGAACACCAAGTAGCTTTTATAAGAGCATGTTAAAAACAACCCCCCCCCCCCAAAAAAAAAACTAGCCCAAAATATCTCTGTCGAAGTGGGTTTCTGGATTCAGCCTAAAGAGGGATACAGGATATTCTGAATACGTCCAGAGAGATATTTTTACCTAGGCAGAGAATTCTCTTAGAATCTTTTAGTTATGGTCAGGATACAGATTTTTAAAAGTATACATTTTCATGGTTGATTGGATGTGTAAAATAAAACTGTAAAGCTTACACCAGTAGCTTGACATTTATATGCATTTTCTTTAATACATATGTATATGATTTTTAAAAACCATATAGTTAACGTGTTCTTAATTTTTGCCAAAGTTCATTTTAAACATGTTTGTTTAGGTTTTACTGCGATCACAGCAACCAACCCCATTTGGCTTATAAAGACTCGGTTACAGCTTGATGCGAGGTATGTACATTTATCAAACTAAAAGTTGGGTTTAATTTATCTTTCTATAAATTTCTGTGTGTTGGTTATCTAAGCTTATTTTTCTTAGCTTTTGTTGCTGAATTTGTTTTCTGGGACTTGGGTCTGCCATCAGAAGCATCGATCATGTTCCAGGGGATGGGGCTTCGCTCACAGAGCTGGAGTAGGCGCTTGGCATGCAGGAACCTGTGTTCCATCCCCAGTCCGACAAGCACTACACTGGGGCGGCCCCAAAGCAAGTGAATAAAATAATATCCAAGACAGTATCTTTTGGAGGGAGGGGACCACACCCCACAGTGCTCAGGATTTACTCCTGCCTCTGCACTCAGGAATTCCACCTGTGGTACTCAGGGAACCATAGGGGATACCAGGGATCAAACCCAGGTCAGCATGCACAGAAAGGGCCCTCCCCATTGTACTATCGCTCTGCGCGCGCCCCCTCCCCCCAGTTTCTTATGGGTTGAACTTTTTCAGATAGGTTGCAGGTTGGACCACACCCAGCGGTGCTCAGGGTTTATTCCTGGCAGGGCTTGGAAGATCATCTAGGCTGCCCAGGATCAAACCCAGACTAGCTACGTTCAAGGCAGGTGTGCCTTGTACCTACAGTTTAGGTACTTACGGTACTATCTCTCTGGGCCCCTAAACCATTTCTTACAGATAAGGTCATATATATTAAAACTTAAAATTGTAGGGGCAAGAGTGATATTGTAGTGGGTGGGGTGCTTATCTTGCATGTAGCTTTTTATCCCCAGCACCTTATGTGGTCTCCCAAGTACTGCCAGGAGTAATTTTTGATTGCAGAACCAGAAATAAGCCCTGAGCACCACCAGGTGTGGTCTCCAGAATTTAAAAAAAGGAACAATTACATACTTGTATAAGCTAGACCTTAAATAGCTAGGAAGACCTTCATGGGAATAGTACTTAAGTAGTTGATAATTGTGGAGGTTCTTATTTATTGTTCACTTGAGTTGTTGACAAGTTTGGGACAGAAGAGGAAATCTAAAATGATAATTTAGAATTTCTGATTTTACTTTATGAGTTAAAGAGGCCTATATTTCTGTTGTATTTTACTTGTCTGGTTTAAAAATGTACTGCTGGGGCCTGAGAGAGAATAACAAATTGGCATGTTGCCTACCCAGGTTTAATTTCCAGCAGAGAGTAAGTTTCTCTGAACATCCCAGCTGTGGCCCAAAAAACAAAAAATCAAGCAAAACAAAACCTAGACAACTTTACATGAATAAGACTTTTCTTTCTTTTTTGTTTATTCTAGGAACCGTGGGGAAAAGCGCATGGGTGCTTTTGAGTGTGTTGCTAAAGTGTATCAGACTGACGGACTTAGAGGATTCTATAGGGGCATGTCTGCGTCGTATGCTGGCATCTCAGAGACTGTTATCCACTTCGTTATTTATGAAAGTATTAAGCAAAGACTACTGGAGTATAAGGCTGCTTCGCCCATGGAAGATGATGAAGAGTCTGTGAAGGAAGCATCTGATTTTGTTGGAATGATGCTAGCCGCTGCCACCTCAAAGACCTGTGCCACGACTATAGCCTATCCCCATGGTAAGGGTGTGTCTGTGTTGAGACACCTTCACTGACAGCCTTTTCATTTAAGCCTTTATTTACTGGATTCTGCTATAACAAAATCAGGTTCTTTGGGAGTTGTTTGTAATGGCACCATTCTGTGTAAACAACCAGCCTGTATGTGCTGTATAAGCACAGCGGTGAGTTACCATTCTTTCTGTCTAGACCAAGATCTATTCGGGCATCAGTCACATTCTACCAGGTGACATTTGGACAGATTTGATGAGGGGGACGTTCCCCAGGGTCTAATCCTGGGTAAGCACAGCCTGACTCTAGACCTGTTGGTGCTCGGGCCAAGGATGCAGAGATACTAGGGCCCAGCAGTGGCAGGTGAGAGCAGCAGATGGTGCCAAAGCTCAGATTCATATCCTGTACATGTAAGTTTGTGTTCTACCTCCAGCTATGATCCATAGGCCCTTTGATGCCCTGCTTTGTTCACTCATGCAGCAGAGCAAAAGCTCTATCAGAAAAGTGAAATAGACCTCGGAGGCATTTGTGCTAAAATGTCGCTTATGAACATCACAAACTCCCAAGGAAAGAGTTTTACTAAGTTGAATCAGGAACAGGCTCCATTTTCCTGAAGGACGCCCCAAAGGTCTGTACGAGAAGTCAGAAGCATATGGTGTGGGCAGCACAGTTGGGTCCTGGCTTCTACCAGAGGACTAGGAGCGGGGGGATTGTCACGTGAGGGCAGTGGTGGACAGTGGTTAGCCTCTTGCCCTTTGGAATCAGAAGAGGCTCTCTCAGGAGTCTGGCCACACAGGAATCCAGGAGGACGCCATTCATCACATCTACTTACCAAGACTGCTGAAAGTTGGGGAGACACTGGGGGCCAAAAGAGCAGGCTCTGCATTCAGTGGGCAGCTGAAAATCTTGCCCAGCCTGACCTGCACTGACTAACCCTCAGAGTGACCCCAGTTCCCACACTTTTTAGGATGAAAATTTGCACTTGCTGTAGTCTTCTCAGATATCTTTCAGATCTAGAATTATGAATACTGGTTGACTTAGTTGACAAATGGTGCCTTTTACCTGGCAGTTTAGATTTTTAAATTTATGATTACTCCTCATGAAGTTTGATCTTGAATCTGTAGGCTATTGTAGCTAGATTGATTTTGTGTCTCATATTACCTTGTCACTTTTGGCTCACTGTCTACCTGTATCACCTGTGGCACCATTTTGGTGTCTTTTCCTGATCTCTTCTTCTCCCTTGATCTGTATAACTGGTGCACATGTTTGGGGTCTTGGAGGGGCCACGTACAGTGATGCCCCGCAGCTGTTCTGTCTCTGTGCTCAGGAGTGACCCTGGTGGTACCCAGGACCATATGTGGTATCCAGATCAAACTGGGGCTGAGTACATGCAAAGCAAGTGCCTTACGTCCTGTGTCTCTCTGTATGTCCAGTACTTTTGATTTTTGCTGAGTGTCTTAGAAGTTTGGTGTTATTGCATGATTTTGACATATACATAAAAATTCACTCCTGAGGCATGAAATGTAGCTCAGCAGTAGAACACACACACATTACATGGTTCATATAGAAATATGAAACACTAGGCTCAGTTCCCAGCATGCCTCCCCACTCTCCATCAAGAAAGAAAATGGCTCATTTGTGGGGGTTGGGTTCCTAAACAGTGCTCAGACATCCCAGGACTCCTCCACCAATTGGGTGGCTGTCTCAGTGAGAGGCTCCAAGGAGATGGAGCTTGCTTGGACCCTGAGGTTCTATTCTGGCTGCTCTCCCCATGCTTGGGGGTCTCCAGAGGTCATCCTGCACACTTGGGGCCCTATGGCGCGTGGGGTAGGCCATAGGCGAGGCAAGTGCTTTAACTAAACCCTGTGCCATCTCCCCCACCCCAGAAAAGGGACTCTGGTACTAAGTTTATGTTACACAAACTGCTGAGTGGGATTTGGTCAGGATTAGGGGTTACAGAGATAACCTTAATAGCACTGTCCTGTTAATCCTTAATACTTATAGATAATCATTTTTTCCCCCCTCCCAAACAGAAGTTGTAAGAACGCGACTACGTGAAGAAGGGACGAAGTATAGATCGTTTTTTCAGACATTATCTCTGGTGGTTCAAGAGGAAGGTTATGGGTCTCTTTACCGCGGCCTAACAACTCATCTGGTGAGACAGATCCCAAACACAGCCATTCTGATGGCCACCTATGAGTTGGTGGTCTACTTACTCAATGGATAGCAGTGCCGGTGGCCAGACTGGGAAGAGGGAAGACCAAAGGATGACAGTGGACCATGGAGTATCAGAGCCAGCATGGTGGACAGAAGAAAACGGTTTGGGAACATGTAACTATGCCCAAGTGCGAGTTTGGTTGTAGAGATTAAAGTAACTGTGCTAAATTGCTTGGTCTTTGCAGTGATATGAAGGAATCCTCGGCTCTCTCCAAGGAAATGCCTTTAGAAGCACTCCTTCCTCAAAATTGCCATTTTCTCTACCTTGGCCACACAGGCCAGTTGCATTTTGTTTATGGCAGAATACAGGTTTTTATTTCTGAGCACTTTGCCAACCTTCTCCAGAGCTATCCCCAGCTCTGCACTCTGCTGTGGCAGATGAAAATAGTATTGACAGTGGCCCGCTTCTGTTGGGTTCCTCTGCAGCTCTATGACAGAACAGTAACAATGAGCCCTTCAGAGTTAATTTCCTTTTTTTTTCTTTTGAGAGGAGCTGGCACAGTAATTTTGAAGTCAGTTGTTTGGCTTTAGTGGTTCCCTGTTTCTGACAGTAAACACAGTGCATGTAAAGATCTGTGGTCGGGCCCACCACTCACGGGGCCTGGCTTCCAGCATGGCCTGGGCACTTCCATTGTTGGTATCGCAAACTCAGGTGGTACTGGGGTAGGACAAAGGAAACCATATGATGTTGATTCCTGGTCATTTCAGTGTCTTGGGCATGTCCTATCCTTTCTAACTTCCATGATACGGGGATGAACACAACGGTCTTTTCAGTGATATATTATTCAGGTTAGGAATATGAGTTCCCATCAGACCTAGTGACCATTTTCTTAAAGTGGAAGAAATCAATCTCTTCTGGCTCTTTCTGTTGACGTATTAAAAACAAAAAAACTACAAAATCCTTTGCATAATTTCCAGAAGATCTATAAATGAATTTATTTTGTAGAGAAAATGGTAATGTTTAGTTTGCCCTTGCCCTTTTCCCAGAAAGGAGGTGCCTGATAAAACTGGGGTGCCTAGAAACACTGCGGAGAGGGGCCTCTGCTGTCCCGCAGCAGGCGGCGCACCACGCCGACAGCCCTGAGCATTTGAGCCACCGCTTTTGAAGAGAGGTTCCTCCTGTCCTGCTTTCCTGAAGGCGAAATTGTAGAAAGAGGGGAAGCAGATTCAGTGTGCCAAGGGGCTTGAGCCCCTGCAGGGTGCCGTTGAGTGAAATTGCACCTTGAATACTTCTGTGTATTACGTGTATGGCCCTTAGGAGGATATTTGCTGTAATTCTATTAAGAAACTTCTGCTTCTGGATGTTACTATACAGGTATATGAAACTTCTGTAATTAAACTCCAGTGTAGCGCTCATTCCATATACATGGACTGTACGTTTTGTGCAATGGCTTTATCTTAAGAAATACTCTGGATGCACTTTGTGGCCTTGATGAGAGGTGGGGCTGGGGGGCGAGTACAAGGGAATTCCACATGAAGATGATTTATTTAAGGGTATTGCCATGTATGAATGAGACAAACAGTGTTCCTGACATTTTCCGGGGTCTTAGGTGAGTGGTGGAGGGCTCCAATATGAATGTCAGAAGTGTTCTGTGTGTGCACTGTAGTGCCCTAGTACCCTCAACATTCTAGAAACTTCTGTGATGTCATGGTAAGCGTTCTCTGTTGTCACCAGTGAATTCAGTGTCCTCCACCCTCTTAACTTCCTTATGCTCACTAACTGGATGTTTTTGAGGTGCTTCAATTGGAATTTTTAAATATTCCAATCTATTTGGAGACCAAAGGCAAATTCACATTCATACCTTTGGGATAAGACATACCTTTGAAGGGGAATTTCAGCTTTGATGTTTATCAGGAGGATCATGCCAGAAAACAAGCGCAGCAAAAGGCTCGTAACTTCAGTCTCCAGAAAGCCTCTGTCTATACAGTATTTGCCTTTTCAGGTGCCACTTACTGCCTACTCAGTGCCATTTGCCTTGTGAAGAGCTGTAAACATTGGTTGTGTTGAATGTGTAACAGATTGCCGAATCATAGTGATCTGTACCCCTGAAATGATGAAGAATGACCCGAAGACCAGCAGTTAAGGCAGAACATCATCTTGCTTCATTGTAGCAAATCCATGACAAGTGCCCTTCCAGAATGGACACCTATTCTGTTCCCATTTGTACTCAGCAAATAAGATTCACCTTGACCTTTAGTGCATTATATTCCACTTTTATGTGATTATGTATGTACAGAAGAAGATCTCCAGGGTCTTAGAGTTTGTATCTTTGTGCAAGGACTGAAAAGGAGCAATGCAGTTTATTTCGTTGTTTTATTTTTTACCCCAAAAGCACAATCTTCCATTTAGTTTATATATGACAAAGTTTTAAAAAGAAAGCTACACTGGCACCGGAGAATTAGTACAGTGGATGGGGTGCTTGTCTGCACTCAGCTGACCTGGGTTTGATTTTTCAGCACCCCACATGGTCCCCCCAAGCTCACCAGGAGTGATCCCTGAGTGCAGAGCCAGGTATAAGCCCAGAGCATTGCTGGGTGTGGCTCAAAAAACCCCAAAAAAAGTATATGTAAAGGTTGAGTATTAAGTGTCTGAATGTTTTCTGGAGTTTTTTTTTTTAATGCACCACCATTTAAAAAAAAATACTTGGCATTGGAAAGAACTTTTTCGTCAGTTTTCTTTTAAATTGCTTTTTATTTCTAGTGTAGAGGTGCTCATACACTCTTGGAGTAGGTACTTTTTGTGGTAGATCTCCGAGCATTGAAGTGGACTTGGGGTTAAGACGGTAGAGACTGAAAGCGCATGCTCCACAGGACAGCAGACACACACTTTGGGACTGTCTGGCTCTCCAATGAATCCCTAAAGTCCAGAGTTCAGACTGAGAGTGACTGACCCTAAGATAGTGGGGTACCATACAGTGCTTTTAAATCCAGGAAAAGTAAACCAACAACAACACCTGTCACCAAAGCCTTGTCTTCGTTTTCATTATGTACATAACTTCTGGAGCCAGATTTTTTCCTAGGGGCCAACAAGCAATTGTAACTTTGAAACCAAGCTAGATTAAATCATCCAATCTAGCCTTTCTTCTAAAACCTAAGCCCATTGTAAATAGCATGATCATATTTGTACCAGCAGAGTTTGGGGAGTTTAAAATAGTGTTGGCTTCTTTCCTCAAGATTAACATTTTGTCATTTTCAAATTTGCTATCACTGAAAACGTTGATTCGAACCGGGGAGATGGAAGGATAGAAACGGGCCTGTCCTTTCCTCTTCAGCATTGTTTCTGTCTATCTCTGGCTGTTAACATGCTCTTCTGCCCAAACTGGAGGGAGCCCTGGGAGGCAGCCCCCCCCCCCCCCCCCCCACAGCCTGTTTTCTCCTGATTGATCACGACTTTAACATTCCTCAGAACATGCAGACTTCTAGAAACTTCAGTTGGGAGGAATTTTAAATGAAAGCTTTGTAATACAGTTCACTCCTGCCCTATCAAAATCTCTTCTCTATTATGCCCTTGTTTTTCTTATTCATCAGTACACTGATTTTTATGCTATTCCTTTTAGAAACTGAAAATTCTAGTGTCATTCAGTTTTTGTGCTAATAGGCATTTTGAATGTGTAGCCCTACATATGTGAATGATTTATCAGTTACAGCTTTTTACTTCAAGAATTGGCATCCTTTGACCATGTATGTGAGGTTTGCTACTGCATTTCTGTACATGACTGTAAACTATGTGCATTTACTCTGTATTTGTAATTAGCGGGATTTTATTTGAATTGTTATTCAAAAAATTAAAATATGCTTATGACAGTATGATGGCGGTCTTTTGTCTTTCCCATTGGAAATTGAGCCCAGTGCTCCCACCCACAGACCTGTGATCCAATCATAAGTTTACAGACCCGTCCCTGGTCTCTAAGCTTTGGTGTGGTAAGAATAACATCACCCTTTCTTAGAATTATTAGTGCAAAGTACATTTTAAAGTTAAATGTAAGCTTCGTTGACTTTCTTTTTCACAAACTTTTTCTTGCTGACTTTCCTACTAGAACTAGTAATGGCTCTAGGTCTTGGTCCAGACTAACTCCTTCCTAAGTTCAATAAGAATTTTCTGGATAGAAAAGGTAGTAAAAGGATTAAGACACTTGCCTTGCAGGGACCTGACCTGGGTTCAATCCCCAGCACCACGTATGGGCCCCCAAACACCACCAGGAGTGATCTCTGAGCACAAAGCTAGGAGTAGACCCTGAGCACAGGCCAATATGACCCCCCAAAACACCCTTTCCCCCAATTTTATTTTAATTATGTCCAGTGATCTTTTCACGAAGCTAAATATGAACTTTGCAAAGAATATCTGGAAGTCAGTCCTTGTGAGGTTATTTGACTCTTGGGCTCCATGGGTTGTGCTAATGGGTTGTACCTGCGGTACTATCTCTTCAAGCCACTATTAATATTTTACTTAATTTTATACTTACCCTAGACAGATATAGAAAGGAAGAAACCAAGCTACTAGAATCATCCATATAGATGTCCATCCTCAAGGTGAATTACTAGTGTAATCTACTTTTAACAATGCTGACTATATAGACATCACTGTTCTGTGGTAGTAAAGTTCATGTGAAAAAATAATTTTCACTTACAGAGACAGTAGTGAAAAATAACAGCTGGTGGGCCAGGGATATAACTCCACAATAGAGCATGTTTTTCATGTTTGAGAACCTGGCACCACAAAAAAATAGTTGGACATAAAGTTCAAAAAAATACATGAGAAGAACCCAGAGTGATAGTATAGTGGGTATGACACTTTCCTTGCATGCAGCTAACCCAGGTTCGGTGCTCTGTATCCTATATGGTCCCCTCAGCACCTCCAGGACTGATTTCTGAGTGCAGAGCCAGGAGTTAGCCCTGAGCATCATCGGTTTGACCTAAACAATTTTTTAAAAAACATGAAGAGTGGCTGGAGCGATAGCGGGTAGGGAATTTGTCTTGTATGCGGCTGACTCAGGTTCAATTTCCAGCATCCCATACGGTCCCCTGAGCACTGTCAGGAGTAATACCCGAGTGCAGAACTAGAAGTAACTCGTGCATCACTGGGTGTGACCCAAAAAAGCTATACACACACACACACACACAAGCATACACACACGAAGAAAACGATAGAATACTTGGCAACCCGATAATCAGAGCTACAATATGGCACTGGGAAATTAGCAATATTAGAATAATGCTGCCTGCTGCTAATAGATTAAGTTCTACAGGACTTCATCTCAACAGCTTTCTTCTTGGAATTTAATTCATTAAAAGCATTGCCAACAACCCCAAGGGTCTAAAAGCTCTATTCCAGAAAGACATCTGTATTACTAAGTTCATTGCAGCATTACTCACAACAACCAAACTCTGGAAACAACCCAAGTGTCTTAAAACAGATGACTGGATACAGAAACTGGTACATATACCCAGTGGAATACTACTTGGCTGTAAGAAAAGATGAAATCATGCAATTTGCCACTATGTGGATGGGTCTGGGGAGTACCACGCTGAGTGGTTATCCAGGAGAGGGCCAGAGCACTGGAGATCATAATACCACAGGTAAGGTGTTTGCCTTGGAAGCAGCTGACCCGAATTCAATCCCTGACAAGCACAAATGGTCTCCCAAGCCCTGCCAGGAGCACAGAGCGGAGCAAGCCCTGAACACCATCAGGTGTGGCTCCAAAACCAAAATAAAACGGAAAGGGGCAGATACAGAATGACCGGGCCCATCTGTGGGTTGTACAGAGACAAGGAATAGAAAATTCCCAGCAGCAGCAACTTGGAAACCGGTGTACAGAATGGAGGTTACCTACAAAGGTATGGGGGACCCTGAGACCATGGTGCAGGGAGGAGAGCACTGCGGAGAGTTGGAACCTTGTATGCATGAAAACCTAATGTGAATGGCTTAGGAAGTCAGTGGCTCAAGTGGAAAAATAATTGGAGCGGAAGAGATAGTACAGCGCGGAAGGTACTTACCTTGCAGCAAGTCGGGTTTGGTCCCTTGGCAACAGGAGTGATCCCTCATCACAAAGCCAGGAGTCGGCCCTGAGCAACACCCGGTGTGGCCCCCAAACCAAGATAAACTGAAGTAATTGTCAAATGTTCATGATCAGAATAACCTAGAAGGAAACCTAAAGAAGAGGGATAAGGGAGCAGGGAGTCGGCTCAAAGGGCTGGACTACATGCCTGGCATGCATGAGGCCCCCCTCACGAGCACCAAAGTGTAGCCCTAAAGGACAAAAGCAAAAATAAAGGAAGAAGATGCCATTATTACGGAGTGATTGACAGCAAGGCATGGGTAGCAGAATCTTCCAGCAGAACGAGGCAAAGAGGGTCGTCTGGACACACCTGCAGAGACAGGACTGGGCCAAGCTGGCACTGCAGAACCCCATGACAGAGGCACTGTTGGAGAAGGCTACTAGCTCGGGGTCAACCATGCCAGCATCGTCACCCCTTGCCTCCACTCAGCGATGCTGTCCCTATTGGGAAAGTCACAAAGGGATCAGACTTCAGTGTCAGAGACCAAACTTTTCCAACTTCAAGAAGAAAATACAGAAGACAGATGGGAGATAGTATAGCCCGTAAGGCACTTGCCTTGCACACAGCTGACTCTGGTTCCATTGCTGGCACCTCATAGTGGTTCCCCAAAGCACTGTCAGGAGTGATCCCTGAGTGCTGAGTCAGGAGTAAGCCTGGGTCTAACTGGGTCTAACCTGAGCACTGCTGGGTCTAACTCCCAAACGAAACATGTTAAAAGGACCAGGGAGGAAGCTCAGTGGCAGAGTACCTGCTTTGCACATACCCTGAGTTCCATCCCCAGGACTGAAGAAAGGCAAAAGGGAACAAAAGGGAATGCCCTGCCACAGAGGCAGCGTGGGATGGGGAGGGGGAGGGATACTGGGATCAGTGGTGGGGAGAATGGGCATGGTGGAGGGATGGGTACTCGATCATTGTATAACTGAAACCCAAGCACAAAAATTTGTAAGTCCACAACTGTACCTCATGGTGTTTCACTAATAGAAATTAAAAAAAAAAAAAGAGGAAAGGGTTTAGGCGCATGCCTTGCATACAGCTCATCCCAGTTCGATTCCTAGCACTTGCATCTGGTTACCTGAACACCTCCGGAGTGATCCCAGAGCCAGGATTTGCCCCTGAACACCACCACCAGGTGTGGTCCGCCCCAAAAATAATCATAATAAATTACCCTTGAAAGAAAGAAGGTAATTATGGACAGAAGTCCTAAATAGGAATAAAACCTAGTGGGGCGGGAGCGACAGCACAGCGGGTAGGGCATTTGCCTTGCACACAGCCGACCCGGGTTCGATTCCCAGCATCCCATATGGTCCCCTGAGCACCACCAGGAGTAATTCCTGAGTGCATAAGGCATGACTAACCCCTGTGCATCGGTGGGTGTGACCCCCCCCAAAAAAAAACAAAGATAAAACCTAGTATTCAATAAGCAAGGTGATGAAATGTTCATCTCCGTGACCGTTAGAGAACTGCAAATTTAAATCACAAGGTAACATCATAAGTCCGCAGAAGTAAATAATCAGGCAATCTCAAATGACTTAGAAGAAAGGAATTTGTATGCACTGCAGCTGGGATCGTCTAGTGCCATGATCCCTTTGGAAAAAGTTGTGCGTTGTAATTAGAAAGCTGCAGACACTTCTGCCATATAAGCTGGCACCTGCGCTCGTGGGTGTCTGCTGCTGAGAAATCCTGGCTCGCATACCCTAGGAGTCATGCACAGGAATGTCCATAGCAGCCCGGTTGCAATAGCAAAACGCTGAAAACATTCCGAGTGTCCAAGGAGAGGAAGACGGAGAAATTCACATCAGGGAAAAATGCAAGAACATGAGCGGTGTGGTCTGATCTCACGCTCATAGCTTTGTATGTGAGGAGCAAGTCCAAAAGCCTCCAGTTCATGAGATTATGCTTCTATAAGGTCCAGAAGTCTGCAGAAGCCAACATTTGTTGAGGCAGAAATGCATCTGTGTTCAAATGATAACAGACAGGGGATGGTAAACACCAATCGTTCTTCCTTCCTTTCTTTCTTTTTTTCTTTCTTTCTTGTGGTGGGTACATCCACAGAACCAGGGCTGGCGGGGGGGGAGGGCGGAAAGATAAAGCCCACGGGAGGACTTGAAGAAAAAATTGATGCTCTGTTTCACCAATAATTTAAAACCTCTTTCTCTCTTTTTTGTTCATTTTTGTTTGGGGGCTATTCCTGACTGTTCAAAGCTTACTCCTAGTTCTGTGCTCAAGAATCACTTCTGACAGGGCTCAGGGGACCATATGGATGCTGGAGATTGACCCAGGTTGGCCATGCGCAAGGCAAGCCCCTTACCTGCTGTACTATCTCTCAAGCCTAAACATATTTCCTTACTTCTCACTGACTTCTCACTGACCAGTGAATTATCCCCAAATCTAATAATCACTTAAGGGGCCGGAGCGATAGTACAGCAAGTAGGGTGTTCACCTTGTTCAAAGCTGACCCGGGTTTGATCCCTGGCATCCCATATGATTCCCCAAGCATGGCTAGAAGTGATTCCTGAGCACAGAGTCAGAAGTTACCCCCCTGAGTATTGCCAGGTGTGGCACAAAAACAGAAAAGCATCTCATCACTTAAAGCCACAAATGCTTATTGTCACTTTCCGTGTCCTACAGGTCGGGCATTCAGGCTTTGAGCTGTGAGCTGCAGCCATGATGGCCCTGGATCCTTCCTGGGAGGGGAGGGCTGTGACTCCAAGCTCACTCATGTGATTGTTGGCAGGTCCAGAGCCTCACGAGGT